TGTAAAATTCTTACTATGAACTCTAAAGATAGTTCTAAATTGTTGAATGTCATGTATCCACAAGAGGATTTTAATTCTCATTTAATATTTTCCAGAGTTGTTTCCTTGTAGGAATTTGTGCAAGTTTAGAGTTTCAACACAGCACAATATCAAGCAGCCCTGCTTTCCTCCCTGCTAAGTTCACACAACTTGAATGAATTACCAATCACTGATGATGCATCTGTTGCATAGAGTTTTGTTAGATTAAAAATTAAAAGTGAGCTTCCTCAGCAATTATGTTTTATTGTAGGTGGGAGTTGTCACCCCATAAAATCAATGTGACTCCATGCTGGGTGGGACAATGTCATTTTAAACTCTCTGGTGCTTGATGAAGCTTTGCTCTGAGGTCTTGAACATGAACTGGAAGTACAGGGAATTCAGTGTGTGTTGTATTAGAAAACATAGAATAGTTCTTAGTAGACCTCAAGAACATGACTTTTCTTTTTGGAATTGTGACATGAAGTACTGGTACTGTTTCATAATGTGAAAAGTGCACTTCACTTGGATAAATTGGTAAAAATCATTAGGATTTTACTGCATTATCTGCCATTGTCAGCAGATGACTAGGCAATGTCTCCTTTATGATACATGATCTTGACACTTGGGACATGTTTTTAAACAGGTGCACTACAATCATGTAGACAAAAAGGGTCATAAGACACGTTAAGTTTGTTTTACAACATGTCTCTGGCTTTTGTTCACTGTTTTGTGGAAACCATATTTGGAATAAATTGACAAAATCGACTTGAGTGTCTACTGTGACCAAAAAAAAAATATATATTATTGCAGCCTTAGTCATTCCAGCTAGTACAGTGGTTACTGCCATGTGTTACTGAATGATTGCAGTTGCTTGCTGTGAAATAAAAGGCCTTCAGGGAAACAGCTGCTTGTATGTGAATGTGAGCAGCTAACCAGAGTCTAACTCTTGCAGTGATGGCATTTTAAAATGAGCCCTTTGTGTGGGGTTTTCCTGCTTGAATTGAACTTGATTTGAATACGGGATCACATAGGATGGTAAACATTCTTCTAAGTGCCATCAGTTATCAACATGGACATGTAATAGGACTCTTGTTGTGTGGCCCCTCTTTGTCAAATTTTGCTTAGTCATTGAAAACTATAGATATTACAGACCATAGACACTGAACTGTAAGGATTTCATGGGAGATTGATGTACCATGTTTTTTAATCAGTATCAGATCTGGTGAAGCACAAGTAATTGTTGGTTTTCTACAAAGGGGAATTTAAAATGTTTCCAACTTAATAAAGGAAAGAGTTTCAAGAAGTAGGATGATGTCACTACACTACACTAAGTTAATCTTCTGTAAAAACTTGTGAACTTTGAATGTTGTTAATCCTCGGTGTGTGATATTCCTCCTTTTTCCAGGTTAATATTTTTTTCTGTGCATTTGATGGCAGTGAATATGTATAATATTTATAAATTAAATGTAAGGACATGTCATATAAATGAAATATCCAACTAACAGTCTTTTTCAGGTATTTTCTTACCTTTTTGCAGCACATACTTCATAGTCATTTATACAGACTCTCAGATCAGAAAAATGAATCCAGAATTGAAAAGTATATTATTAGAAAGTGGTGAAATTCATTCATATTGATTGTAAGGAAAACTTTTTATGTGAAACTTTCTGTAAGTCTTTCATGTAGGTTGGAAACTTTGCTGTTGCCTCTCATTTAAGATTAACTAATCTCACTCTGTCCCTAAATCCTTTTACTAGTTATAGTAAGGAGGCTATTATCTCTTGAACAGTGCTAACAATCAAAAACACCTGTCGTCCCTATTTCTTATACATGGTCTGCATACAATGTTGAAAATGTAACAAATGAAATGTGGTGAAATATATAATCAGTGGGAAAGGAAAGGTAAGAAAGCACAGTTCTACCCTCTAGTTGTGAGTCAAGCTCAAAGTTTCATTAACTTTTTGGAATTGTTTGTCTGATTTTTCCATTGACTTACGAGCAGAGAGATCAGATTCAAGATCACTAAGGTCACTTCACTCAAAAAATAAATTATTCTGAGTGAAATTAATTGAGATATTTCCTCTGTGGCATTTTGAGTATTGAGATTGGACTATTTGGGAAAAGATTAAGAAAAAGTTACACTGAACGTTAGGAGGTGCTAAATATGTTGAGGAACCCTTGTTTAACAGACTCCACAGGAAAGTTTTCATTCTCAAGTTCATGCAAACCAACCATTAAGGACTGTGAGCTGTATTCCAGCCAAATTTGTCTGTAATTATAAAAATAAGAACCAAAACTATAAATGACTGGTTTTGGATACTGGGAAAATAAAAGCTACAGAGTCAATTCATGATGTGAAAATGCCAGTCCTGATATGCATGGTTTGCAAAAGCACATCCACGTGCCAATTAAATCTACTACCCTCCCTCTTGATACTTATTACATGCATCAGTTGACTTCTGTTGACTGATAGACCTGGTATGGATACTGATACTGATAGAATTGACCTGCTTCTTTGAGTAGAACAGCTCCATTATTCACTACTGGAATCCATTTTATAATGGGCTTGAATTTTTTTACGACTGCTTCTCCAAGACCTTGAGACAGAAGGAATGTCATTATTTTGACTTTTCTACTGGAATTTTCAGAGGGTTTATTAGGGCAGGAAAAGGGAAAGCTAAATTATGCGAACCCTTCATATATATGAGAGGAAACCATGAGTCTTCCCTTTTTTCATGATGCTTTTAACGGAAGTTCTTAACAGTCACAGGCTCTTGGCAACTCGCTCAGGCGAACACATGCCTCAAAGTGCCTTTGATCAGAATTAATTTGATAAAATCCTGCAAGTTCAACTGTAGCACTAGGAAAACTATGCAGATAAGATGGCAATTTCCTGTAGAGGATAGTCAGAGGAGTGATACAGACGGATGAGTTGGCGATATTGTGTGGGGGGAACTCGTGTTGGAGAATTTCTTTCCGTATTTCTTATTGTTGCTGGGCAGCGATACTAAATCCCCTTTTAAAATATAGTAACTTTCTGTGCCAGATTTTAAATTTATTCATACTTCTGCAGGAATCCCTTGGGAGAAAATTACATTTTCGTAAATTTTAGAGGATATTTCATGAAGCCGAATTTCCAAAAGTATTTTTCCTCTTGACGAAAAAGAATATGCGTGACTCCTTCCCCCCCTTCTCCAAAATTCATCTTGCTTTGATAATTCAGATTGTTGGAATCAACTAGTTATATGCTGATATTATGAATCATTTCCATAATTTCAGTGCATGCACAATGTAGGATTGCCCGAGGACAACACTGGATTGACGCATTTGCAAGAATAGGCTGGTAACCGTTATTCACCTCATCAGCGCCCCATATGGGAAGCATTTATATAACGTAATGGTATTCATGTAATCACATCTTGATTTCGCAGCTCCAGACAATTCCGTCGAAAGCCCAGTCATGACATGCGAAGAATTCACGATCTATTTGAAGGGCTGGAAGGCAAAGTGGTCTATCTGCAAAAACAATTCTTTCCTGGAGTTCCACACGGAATGAGTGATTATTCCAGTGACCGTCTTGTTAAAAGTGAGAGAAAGTGGTATGTATCGATAGTGCACATCCTCCTTTACCTCATAAAAAAAAACTACTTTTATATGAAAGGAACAAGGTTCTAAAGCACAAAAACCAACCACACTTTTTTCGGAAATATTTTGCAGGTAAACCACTTTGCTTTTCCGCCCTTCATTTAAAAAAACACGCATGATTTTGTCCAACAACAGGAGAATGTTTTCTATGTTATAATTAAGGCGATTTCCTATTTGATGAAAATTATTCACGTTCCATATATGGATTTGACTCAAAGAGTAAGGGGAGAGAAATTCGCTCTTGGACGAGATGTAGACCATTTGGAGCGAGCCCGTGGAGGTTTTCAGGCAATAGTTTTTCTCCAGGAGTTACCTAAGTGAGTGAAAAGTATTCAATATTTTATTTAGTTTTATTTTCTAATATAAACGACATATCTTGGGGCATAAAGCTCCATGAGTTTGCCGTGCCACTGTGGCTGCTGATCTCCAGCATGGGGGGGGGGGGGGGGTGCGTTAGGGCGAAGGGTCTGTAAGTAAGGGCCGCGTAGTACAACTGGCTTTGCGGCCATGATATGAGGAGAAGTGGGGGGAGGAGCGGAGTGGCCCTTGTGCGCGCCTTGGCCAGCGAATGGGAGTGCGCTGAATTCCCGCGCCTTAGCCTCGCCTCGAATCCCTCGGAAATAATGTGATGGAAGGCAGGCAAAATGGTGGGAAATGGTGGATCATCCCATCTCCTCTTATCCTCCCCATACACCCTATGCGTCCGTCCCCCCTCGCATTCCTCTCAATCTAATGCTGCCCCCTAGTTTCTGTAGCGCTTTCCTATGCTGGTTCGCGAAAACCTTGGATGCATTCTTGTCAATACTGCCCGGATGAATGTAAAAGAATGGAAAATGTTAGTCTCCACAGATGCATCATTAGGGAAGCCCGTTGCAGCTTTCCCTCTCGTAGCAGTTTCCCCTAAACTATTATTTCCGGTAGTGTCAGTAAGCGACAAGGAAGACGGATTGTTTGTAATTCGCACCGGATGTACTTTATGTGGCAAAGGCTCCTGCAAGCCTTCATTCTGCGCGTAGGGGTTCCTGGTTCTCATTGCTCTCATTTCCATTGCGGCTTTCCGTTTCTTCATGGCTTCCTATGGTTTTTGCAGCTTCGAATTTTTCATAGCGTCAATGGCCAAGAAACATCGAATCTGTTAGCGAAGTTAATGCTTTTTCCGACGAGAGGGTATCGTCTGAGTCATCGATCCCCATAGAAAGGAGGGAGAAATTTTCTTCCTTCGAGCAATTTTTCTTGAACCCCAGGGAACCTGGAAAGATAGACCAGCAACTCCGCCGATGAGAAAACGTTGAAGTTTGGAATGCCATTGCTGCATTCCAAGTGGGGCTCGGGATGGAATGAGGCCCCTTGAGGGTCCGGCGACTGCTTTCTTCCTTGCTTGTGAAGATTCATCTAACGAGAGTGGGGAGGAGGAGCTAGGAGCAGCATCCAGTTCGTTCACCGTATTCCATGTCAAGTTCCCGCATCCCTTGTCAATGCGCCTGCACTTTTCCCATCCATTCTCTGTCGCCATTTCTTCGGCTCGAGAGGCCGTTGATTCTCCATGTTTTTGATTGAAGTCTTCTTTTCAACCATCGCTTGATACGATACACGATGGCCACCGGAAATACTAATTCGCTGTTTTTATTTTGTCTCTCCTGCCGCTAAAGTTTGTAACATTAATGAAGCTAGATGGTAACGAAACTGCATTGTCTACATCGATCGAAAGTGGAGAATTTCTCCGCCCTCTGGAATTGAATCAGGTTTTGGAACGATTTAGAATGAATCTTGTGAATTGATTTTTTTTTTTTGTAGACGACGGAGACGTTGGAGGGCGACCTGAAAGTCCATCCATGGTTACAGGAAGTCTAGACGACATTGAGGACGATGACACTTGGGGTCCTCTCAGTGTTGATGGTAATTATATATCTGAGGAAGAAATGGTCTGTCCTGAGAGACTACATCGTCGGGTTGTTGGAGGCCATGAATATGAACGGTAAGGTGCGCCTTTTTTTTTGCTCAAAGATTTTAGTTTCAGCATCATGCTTCTCATGGAAATTTTATTTAACTAACTGCTTCTGTCACTTGAGCATGCGCTTAAAAATTTCGTCATCATCAAAGCGCCATCTGGCTCCAGACCCGCCCATAGAAACACAATGATTCATAAGGACTTGAAAGCCGTTGTTCTTATCGAATCACCCGTTCTGGCGCGTATTTCGCTCGAAACAATAAGCCATGCTGGGAGATGAACGCCTATTGCACGTGCTCAGAGGAACTCGTCCAGATGAATTACAGAAGCGGAGATTAAAGTGTGGTCGTTATTCTCTACTGGCATCCTGAAATAATTTCCAAGTTCCACGTACTAATCGTGGTTCCCTTGCTTTAATTTTTCTGAAGTACATTGTTAACTCGAGGATTTCATAGCCTATATTCCCGTTGGCATCCGCCTGCTGGCAGAAAAGAATGCATGGTTGTGCCACTCTGAGAGTACAGAGAAGTGAAGTTTGCTTTTTTGTCATCTACGTGGGAATTACTTCGTAGCCTGTAGGTCCATTGAATTGCGGATCAACGTCCGGATGATAGACTCGCCTGCAGTCTGTAGGCGCGCCATTGGAAGAAAACCCTTCATGTCATCGTCCTGGAATCACTCCAGGTGGCACACAGAATCGGGAGGCGGGCTGGGCAGGGCAGAAAATTCGCACCGATTATGTGCTGCACACTACATGATTGTGATTCGCCATGTCGCGCTCTGAGTTTGAAAAGAAAGAAGCCAGGCTTGTTTACGTGAAAGCTATGATGGGATGATGTGATCTGTGCCAAGTCCGTTGACCTCATATCGAATGTCTGGAATTTCGCAGCGTTGTAGTCATGGCACGTCACGGGCTTCGCATGCAGTGCGGTCATTTCTGCCATGGCTCACGTAGTGGTGGTTGAGCGAATGGCTTGGAAGTGCAGTGAGACCCTAGACCGGAATGGGTTTGAGGTTCCTGCCCCGAAAGGCATGGCTTGAGACCTCCATCTGTGGCACAGGAGTCACGAATGTATACTGTACTCGTGTTCCCCATGTTCCGTACTCTGTACTGTATGACCTCTATGCACCCGCCTGCCCCTCGTGAATGGAGCTTCATTTGTACTCCACAAATCTACACCTCGCAATTCCATACCGTGCGAATATCTGGTGTACAAAATTCCTCGCTGTTTTAAGGGGATTTTCTCACACGATGCTCGAGGGAGCGCTGCTAATAAATTCCTTTGGATCAATGGCAGCTTGAGTTGTTGCAGGGCACGTGCGCTGCTCTGAAAATTGCTCGACTAGTTCCGCCGGGCGGCTTTTCCTGCAATGGGCCTATGACGAGCGGCAGGCGTTTTGAGAGTGCGAGTGTGTGTGTGTGTGTGTGTGTTTGTATGTGTGTGAGTAAGTGTGGTTTGTGTCCCGTTTTCGCTGATTTTTATTGTCAAATGCATACTTTTTCAGAGCTAGGTTATTGTCGATTGGAAGGTCGCGTGGAAGACCCCACGTGTAGAAGCGGGTATTCCGCAGTGTCATTGAAAGATGGGCGATAGTGGCCGGAAGTAGTGGAATGGTTTTGGCGCCAATGTACTCTGCCCCCTCAGCGTAGTGTGACACTCTCACGCCAGAGTAGCCGAACAGCCTCCATTCATGGCGTGCCTGGGCCTGGGGTCGTGCACGGTACACCAGCTCCTGTCCCTTTCGGGTCTCGGCACTTCCATTTCTTTCGCATTTCGCCGCTGCCTCCATCCCATGAGACACGACGATTTATCCATCCCGCTATCATGTGCGTGCACGTGATGGGTGTGAAATCGCGGTTCATAATGCCCTGTGACTCGTTAACCCCTCGGTATAGGGAGCGTCACCCATGCTTCATTGGAAACCAGAATCTGGAGGTCAATCACAGCCAAATGGTGAGAGCTCGCTTTGGCCCTTTTATTTTTTATTTCACAGTTCCTCCTTTGTAAAAGCATATTTTCGGCCTAGGCTAACCTAATGTTGGACGGTAGGCAGCGCCTGCCCACCAATTGCTAGGAAAATGGTAGTCATCTCATGAATTTGATGGGTTAGGCGTCTGGCATTAATGCCATATCTGAAGTCACCATTTGGGTCTCGTGAAAGTTTTATTGTTTGAAAATGCCTGATCAGGAAGAGAAGTTGAAGGTCTCGGAATGTGATGTGCATGTCCTTTTTTGGACGCATCGGCCTGTAGGCAGGCCCTAGAGGCATGAGCATTCCACACCTGCTGGTGGAGCCTTGCTACATTTAGTATTTATTACGTATTGGGTCAAGTAGCATACTTTAAGCAAATGCAGAATGTCAGCTAAATTTCCAAGGGAATGAAAATGTAATCACTTTGATGAGAACGATGAAAAATAGGCCAAAGCGAACGGAATCTGACGTGGGATTTTGCCCGTATGATTGAATGTCGAAAAAGCCAGAAGTGAAATGGATGGAATGAAAAATTCATGCCTGTCCTCTGAGATCTTTGTCGCAAGCCGTGAATGGAATGGTTTCGATTCATTCCGGTCATGGTGACCCAAAGGTACGTCGTATCCATCTAGTTCTTATCAAGTTCAGCAGGATTCTATGAGAATCAAATCCGGTTTTGACATTGGAGATGCATGCCGAAGGGATGTCGTCGGCCCTTGTGAGGTCAGTTACGTGGAAGCCTCACCGCATCAAGAAATAGTTGGCATATTTCTTCGAGGTCATCCCAAAGCGTTTTTCTCCGGACCGTGTTCTTTCACATTATATGCGGCCATGTAGACCTTGGCATTCAAGGACGGTCTTACAACTTACGTCGCACGGTGTGACGCAGGATATGAATCAAGGAAACCCAAGGTTTTCGGAACCTCATTTAGAAGGTCACCCTTTGCGAGTAACGTCGCTTCGACCGAACCAGGGTCAATGTTGAAACGAGACCGGGAGCGAATCCTCAGTTTCCAGGGGGCGAAGACGAAGAGGCGATCTCGTGTTGCAGGCGCAGTGCCCTGGATGGTTTGTTTCTCCCCATCCCATCCGTCTCATGCCCTCCAGCCCCAGCCCCATTTTCCCCCTGCCTCGTAGAGAGAGGCCATTGCCGTTGCTTTCCCGCGTCTTTTCTTTGAGGCCCCATTTCCTGTCCTCGGGGGTTGTGGGAACCTCTTCTCAAGGTTGTTCACATTTTCTCGCGTTTCATGTCCTCCCTTCTCGGGATCCATCTTGTTCCCCCTCACGTGAGTCGCCTCCCCTCCCCTCCGGCCTTCTCCCTCATTCCTACGTGTTAGCTATCGAAGCCATTGAAACGGAATTTTCGCGCCAAACCTTCGACATGCTTTTCTCACGCCGTTGACCGGTGAAAGACCCCCCCCCTTTTTATTTTCTCCAGTCACTCTTATCTCAATCCCCCGCTTGATTATTCCCGTTCCCTGTCGCTTTGTTGGGGGATGTGGCGATCTCAAAAGCCGTAAAGAACGGTTCCTGACCGACAAGCGGGAATAAGTTGAGAGGATCTGGAATTATCATTGCCATCCAAGCCGCGTTCCATCCCTATCCAACAGGACCCGGGATGGGATGGGAAGGGGGGGGGGGGAGAAAGGACGGGTGAATCTCGTCAATGCTAATGAGCGGGAGCTCTTCCGCCTATCCTGAAGTCCTGAGGTAATGAGAGTGGGCTTAGGAGAGGGAGAGAGAGGCACTCTAAATTTAGACTTTCCAGCCAAGCTAGAGCTCGGCCATATACCCCTGTGGTACCTCCCATTTCCATTTCTTCACACGCCTCCCCTACGTGGCGTTTTCTGTATTTTCAACTCGTATCAGTGTTTTATTCGATGGAAATGCACACCTTAATTTTCACTTTCCATTTACCCGAGAATGCGTATTCAATTCGCATGATTTTTTTTTCCAAATAAAATGAATAACGCGGTCTGAGGCAGTTCTTAGAAATATGTAATCGGCACGCAATGAGGCAGGAAGTCTTGAATGACGCCGAAACGGGAAATGTCATGGTCATATTTTGGGGTGGTCTTAGTCAGCAAGGCTTTATCCACGGCTTCGTGGAAACAATGAGAATGTTTGAAGATGCTTTACCGAGAAATGATCGGGATTTCTAGGAAATTGGCTGTTCAGTATTTGCTGGGAGCTCTTCGCCGGACCGTGGAGAGACCGGATGCCGCTTTCGCAATCAACGCCTTCGTGGAAATCTTCGATGTTCTCTTCAACGATCCAGGTAAGAGTGGGATGGGAAGCATGAATGACCGAAAGATAACCATTCTGGCAATGACCAAAACTGGGATTGGCCGTTGAGGGAGGACAATGCTGTGGGAATGGGACGTTGGAACAAAAGAGACCAGAAGATTGAAGGATAACACATAACAGCTTCCTTCCTGAGAAAGGAAGGGGGCAGCTGGTGCACATATGTGAGAGTAACCCTGGCAGTCCCGCAGTGGCGGTTTTTCAGCCATTTGGAAGTCGTACGCCCGGCACGCGACAGCTGTGCCTTGCAAGCTAGGCAGGCGCGAGCCATAATACCTCTCGTTCCTAGCACGGCGGCTTCTATTTACCGGCTGCTTTCAGGGCTGCCCCACTCCAGGTCATGAGTTTCAAAATAATCTTTGAAGGAAGAGGAAAGCCAGCCGCCGATTTTTGGATGAAGGAAGTCTGAGTCCTTGGTTCTTACCCGCAAAGTAGTAGGTGGTGAGATACTAGCCGACTTCCCTCAGCGAAAGTTCTTATGATGCAATGGAATGACAAAAAAGCGAGATTAATGGGAAGCAGTTTTATTGGTTGCTAATCAGGAACGAATAACTAATCTTGTGATTCAGAATGCCAATGGAAGGTGAATTGTGCTAGAGCCTTTAAAAAGAATCAGACCTTTTTCATCTTTCACTTTTCAGAATGGGCCCCAGTAGTCAATTTAGCTCCTGTTTTTATTAAGCCATATGCCTTACCAGAGTTTTTTTTTTTTAGGTGCTGCATAAAGTAGTACTTGGAGTACTTCTCCAAGTAAATGCTTCTAGTAATGCAGTTGTACTTGCTCTGACCCCATTCCAACAGGGTTGGTCTGAAACATTAGTAGCCCCTGCAAACTATTGAATTCAGGAAAGTTCATGAGGAGTTGAAAACGTGCCTGCATTTTTTCTACTGTTGCTGGAAAGTTCTTGCCAATGGACGAATTATGCTTTAAGAAAAGCTCAATCATGTAGAGAAGTATTATAAATGCACTCCCTTGGGGTCAGTGGTTGGAGCATTGAATTTGGGAAAATCACTATAAATCTTTCTTTTCTCTTATGAAATGACTGCATTTGAGGTCCTGCCTCTAACAAATGCATTTCTTAATAGTTTAGACAGTTTCAAAATTCAGTAACATTATATGGTTTAAATTGAATGTTATTCCTCCTTATTCCTTGTTAGGACTTTCCCTGAAAAAAGGATAATTTTACTTGTACTTGAAAGGTGCTATTAAATGTAATTGTAGTATTTAACACCTAATTTTTTTCAATTTTCAGTGGTCCTAGTACGGCACGAGTTCTTGCAACAAGTGCCTCATCTTGCCATGCTGTGTCACCAGAACAAGGAAATCTTGGGCTTCCTGATGAAAGATCACTTGCTACCTCATACAGTGCAAGCCATCATGGATCCTGTTCTTCAGGTGATTATTTCATATTCTTTTAGTGAATCAAATAGCACATTTACCAGGGCTTTCACACAGTACTCTCATGGTGTGAAAAGGTGGACACTTGTTAGCCTTGTGTATAAACAATTGGTTTATTGTGCTTCGTATTTCATGATTTTTTCTCACAATTTTTATAATCAAAGCACTGAAATCTTGGTGCATCCCATCTGAAAAGGAAGCTTCTGAGTTTGTTTCCTAAAATTTTTAAAATGAATGTAAATTAAGGAATTATGTGGATAAAATTTAAGTAGGTATGTAATAATAAATGAGCTGTTCTAATCCTAAAAATGAATGGAGCAGAATTACAGCATCCTGAGAAGAACATTAAATGGAACAAAAACACCCAAACCTTGAACCTCACAAGAAATTACTTTAGTTGTATGTGAAGCCTTGATTGTGTAATTCTGCTAGCATTGGAATTATATTTAAATGACATTTGGAATTATCTGAAGAAATAAAAACTGGTTAATTTGACTGGTGTATTAGTTTGTTTGGAATATCCTGGTCAGTTTGGATTGTTTCAAGGTCATTCTCTTCAAAAGATGGAAGATGCTTATAGATAAGCTCATTTTGAAGTTTTTTATTTTGTACTTTTTTGACACTTCCCTTATTTTAAAATTACTATTTTGTCCCATGAAAATGGTTTACATTTGTATCATTATTTTTCCTCTGTAAAACGACCTTTTACAAATGAGATTTGCATGGACATGAAAGTACTCAAGTTTTTCTCTCTCCTCCATTCAATCTTTGGATTGGATTTTTATGAAGTGGTCATAAATCTTGGTGCAAGGAACTTTGAACCATGAACAGGATCCTTTATAGCAAACTCCAGGATAGTTTCTCCTAGCTCATGTTACAGGATATCATATGACTCCCTTAGATGCTCTGACTGATCCTGTACACTATGCTAGTTGCAAGCAAAGAGCAAACTTGACTTATATTTCCATTTGCCAATACTTGGATTTTACTAATTTTTCTGCCTCAAATGCTTTCCCTTTTTTTTCCTGAAAAACTACTTCATTTTGCACATTTGAAGGCTCATGGAATATCACAGGACTATGAGACATAGGATAGTCAGACTTTTCCATTTGGATTGTAATTGATATTGCTGGATTGTAATGGTTTTCTTCCTTGTGAAGAATCAGAATAGTATCAGACTTTTGTCTTCTAAGTCGCTTTCTGTTCATACAGGTCAGGAAAACTGCTTCAGCTGCCTTGGTGGTCGTGGTTGAGCAAGGCTTAATAGAATCTGATGACTTTACAACAATATTGGCTCCTGACTTATGTGAACTGACTAAGGCTGGGAAGTCTGAAGAAGGAAGAATTGAGGTTGTTTCAGTAAGTACATAATTTTTTTAAATGAACTTATCAGTTACAGTATCTTGCATGATCCTAGCTTTCATAAGGATCATAAATTTGAGGGGTGTTCTGCCACCTAAGAATTTGCTGGGTTATTTTCTGCTGATCTTGTGAAAGACATGGGTAGTGAGATGTGAGATTCATACAGACATCTCACTACCTTGTCCTTCATGAGAAGGCAGTTTCTGCCACAACTCAGCTATTAGGTGCCTGTAACATGCACCAGTGCTCTTTCAGAGGAGGAAAATTTGTAGATGTAACATGCCTTTGTTATGTTATTATGCTTTTGTCTCTCTTTTGCATTTTCTTGACTTCTAGCATGCATATATATATTTGTATATTTGGAATTATGCTCGTGTTCAAATGTAGTTTATAACTGGTGCATGAATTAGAAGAAGCCTACAATTTGAAAGGTTATTCAGTGTGATTCGTCAAAGGTGGTGAGTGAGATGCAGCCTCATAGTACCATATCACAGCCACCTTTGATGAGTTCACTGAATGCATATCACCAGAAAAGCAGTGTGACATGTCAGACCAGTCAATTCGGCTGTGGTATGCTGCAGTGGAGAGCCAGATCACAGCCGTAATCGACGAGTTTGATGGTCACTCCATCTCCATGCGACATGCCACCTCCTGGGAATTCAGGGCAGCAAGTGGAGAGTGTGTGGTTCTTTTCTTTGCTCACAAAGTGGCTGTTGGTATGTCTTGCTTGGAAGCTTCATATCACAGCCAGCTTTGATGAGCGGAGGGATGGACAAGCGCATCACAAACACACGGTAGTGCAAGCTGCAGTCATGGCTTTGCTTGTCAAGGTGGTAGTGATATGCTGTCATGGATCATATCACAGCCAGCTTTGATGAGCGAAGAGATGATGTCAACCCTTGTTACACTGGATATCATCATGAGCCTAAGGATGTGAGTTTGCTGTATCTACATCGTTGCTTTCAGAAACTTTGATATCTTTGCCAGCATGAGGTTTCTATGGTTGCAAATAATTTGAACACCTTTCTATCATATCCCAATCCATGTTTCTCATTCCTAGGTCTTTTTTCTTGGTGCTGGCAGTTCTTGTGGGGGATTGTTTCATTTTTTATTGGAAATGTTGATAATGGGAATCATGCAGCAGAGAATTGAATTGGTGAATCATAATCATTAGGCTATTAGCATGGGTTTCTTTGAAAAGTAGGATCTAACAGGATGGTTTGAAGGATTGGAGTTTTTCACTGTTTCCATTCAGCAGAAGTTTGTATTATGAGAAGGTATTTTCAGTTAGTTTCATTCAACAAAGTTGGAAGCCAATCTGATTTTGGCTGACATACATCTTTGATGTTGAATCTCTTACTATCAGAAAGGAGATGGGAAAAAATAGATTTCAATTATCCAGCATGATTTCTGTCCATTTTTAGAATAAAGCAGTAAATGCCCTATTCTCTATTTTCATGCCACCCTCCAATGATGAAATGAAAGTTGCTGAATTTGTCCATGAAATTCAGGGATTTTGGAAGTGGATGTTTTTGTCTTCCAAGTTGTGGTCTCGAAAAGTTTGCTTTATATTTGACACACATTGCAAAAAATGAATACGAATTTCACTCTACAGCATTCACTCTGCATATGATGATGATGGATGGAGAGGCATGCACTTTGAGCTGGGAATATCCCTGGTCATTGAGAGCAGACATGAGATTTTCAAGATCCTCTTCATTCATTAGATTTTTTCAAAATGTTATCTCCCATTCTGAAATTGTCTGGTTTAGCATATGGTGTTGCTGTAGTTTATGCTGCTTACTCATTTACATGTGTCATGGTCATGGTTTTGAGAATTTTTGACTAATAGGAACATGAAAGCCTCTTTTGCAAATAAAGGAATAAAGGTCTATTGATCTATCGGTTCCAAAGCCTAAGATTGTCATCAGAGGGGACCTGAAGATCTATTTTAGATTCTGCATTCTCCCCAGAATTTTGGTCTTTGCCCTTTATCTTCATGGATGTTCATCCTCAAATTTTTTACATAGTTTACTTCAGTCATTAGATCATGTCTGGTTATCTTGTGTCTCTTTCCATCTACAAGCTCACTGATTTGTTAGTTGAAATGCCTAGTATATAATCTTCACCAGACCCTAGGGACTGTGAGATTTGTTTCAAAGTTCTATTCATCCCCCTTCCCCACAGCAGTTTCTGCGCCTCCTTCATCTTCAGAGATTTTGAAACTTTGACATTTCAGCAATTTTTCTTTAGGTCTCAGCTTTTGCTCTTACTTCCTATTTCATTCCTTAGATCTCAACATTGTTGATTTTAATCAAGTCTTCCTTGTTTAAAAATATTTATTTTATATCCTCCAATTTGTACTATTGCAGCTTATTTATTTTCGGTCAGACTTTGGCACAAACCATCTTAGCATTATCATTGCTTCATTCACTACAGAAACCCATAGGGTCAGGCCCATCTAAGTTTGGACACTAGCATACAATGTTACAAAATCAAGCATTAGTGAGCTCTGCCTAAGAAGCAGTTAGATTGGAAGAGCCGTTTCTGAAGGTAACATCATCAATGCCTAGTTTTATATATTTATTTTATGGCATCTAAACTTTAATGTCCAACGTTGGTTTCATCCTATGGTGGGTTTTTCTTAAGAAAGTTTAGATGCTTATTTCCCATCCAGAGGTTTTCATCCTAGTTTCTCCATTCCTTTTTAGGTTCAAATTTGAGGAACTTGTATGTATCATCGTTCTGAAGACACTAATTTTGTTGCTCTAGGTAGAAATAAAACAATCATATTCATGGAGGGCTGCTATCATGTACCTCTTATGTGTTTTATTCTGGAATACAGATACTTCATTGTTACAATGCCAGTCACCAATGTGGAAATTTTCTATTTTTGATTTGAGCACATCTCGAAAGTGGCCAGGCTGTGATCATTCCAATGCCAGAATCTTCAATCTGCTGATTTTTCATTATTGAACATGCAAGATCTTTTACAGGAATAAAACCAGCAATATCATCCTGAATTATTATTCCCTTCTGTTAATTTCCCCCTCCTGCACAACAAAGGAAATGCTCTTTGGTGACTGGCATTGTAGAGACAGCTTCTGTCCCTGAACTCCAGTTTAAAGAAATATGTTGATGGATTTAATTTATGGTTTTATGCTACTTTGTCCTGCTAGTATCAAGCAACAGGATATAGTACTCTGACCCTTCAACTAAAATATTTGTTTGTTTTTTTCATTACCAGCTCCATTCTTTCATGTGGTGCTTTGCTTGTTGAATTGCACAAGTTGTAGAAAGAGGAATTGAATTTCTCTTGATACATCTGATAGCTGCAGGATTTTTCTGCAGAGCCTGTAATGCCTCCTTGTTGAGGTTCATTGATTTGCAGAACACTGGTGCCCTGGTGTAATTAGCTAGTCTCCTTTTTGGCAGTTGAGAGTCTTGAGAAAAGCAACTCAAAGCAAAGTTCAAATTGCAGTCAATGGTCCAGATTCATGGAGCTCATAGGGTTATGGCATCCTCAATTTAACCCCAAACCCCCCTAAAAAGTATTTAAATGTTGTAATCAAAATTATTTTATTCAAAATGGCTTTCTGCATCATGGTTTGTCAGTATTTTAAATAAATCTTGCAGCAGTCCTGAGTCTGCACAGAATCTGTAGAGGTCCCCAAGAAAAATTCAAGTGGTTTTTATCCATGCCTTATTGAATGTTATGACTTTGGAAAGGAAGCATCATTTCTGCATTATGATTTGCTTTTGATATAATTTTCATGAGGTATTCATTCTCATGGCTTTTTTTCAGTTAATGGTGAAGATGTCCCCTTTAGTGGGAGAGGAAATGACAGATTGGATCTTCCTGAACACATTTTGTATGCTGTGTGAAGATAGTTCACTGCAAATGAGGATAACTTGTGCTTCCCATTTTCCTGACATGTCCCATGTTCTGGGGCCAAGAAGTACTGAAATTCACTTGGTGAGTGTGTGAATGGTATAGGTTTGAGATAGGACTTGGGGGTTCATTTTGACTTTTTCTTTTGTCACATTTCTGCAGTTGTCAAAATTCATCCGTTTATGTGAGGACCAGGAGTGGCCAGTGAGGAAGGCTTGTGCTGGAGTCTTCACATCTTTTGCAGCCAATTGTAGATTGGAAACAAAGAAGAACTCCCTTACTCCAATTTTTGTATCACTCTTGAAAGATCCCGAGTCTCGTTGTGTGAGAGCTGCAGCCTTTCAAAATCTGGGAGGCTTCATTTCATCCTTCTCAAGCCCTCTGGCATCAGGCTTCATCCTAGTTGATGGAAAATTGCACCCTTTGGGTAGACTGCATTCATTTGAAAATTAGTAAGTTAAAAAACTTCAGCTATCTCATTTGTTAAAGCTTTGTGAACTACATCTGTGCAACTTTGTAACCTACAGAGTTTGTGAATGTAAAGAAAGGAGTTTGACAGTATTTCTTGGATTTTTTCCCTTTAACAGCTCACAAGAACAGGAAGTTTCTGGAAGAGAGTTAGAAGACCATCATCATCATCATAGTGGGAGTGACAGTGGTAATGTGGAGGGTGAGGGAGGAAACAAGGAGGATTCTGATGTCACTGGCAATTCCCCTGATGAAGGTTTCCATGAGTCAGAGAATGGATCCCTTGAAGACCCAGACCTAGAAAAGGAACAAGGTCCATCAACAGATACAGTGATAGCAGGTGTGGATGCATTCCAAGAAGAGTGTCAAGTACACTCTGCCTCTTGCACAAGTAACATTTCAGAAGGTATGGGTGTCCCAGTCATAGGGATACCTCTTGTAGTTTCAATAACTTCAAATACAGGGAACTCCTTAACAAGTGAAGAAGCTTCTGTACCTAATGAAGAAGGGACCACTGAACATTCAACTGAAGGCAAGAAGCCTGAAGAGCCAGTTGTAGTACCTGATGAGGAAGCTTTCAATGATTTTAGCTTTTGGAAAATGCCAGTTCCTGACGTTGAGCCACCTAAAGAGGAGTTGGAGCTAGTCCAAGACCTTGATGATTTCCACATATCACAGGATGCCTTTTGCAGGATATCCTTTCACCAGGTGAGTTATGATGAATTTGCTAGGCATTTCCTAGAGGAAAGAGTGAAGGAGACAAGTGTGTAGTTATCTTGATCATGGTTTTAAAATAGGGTTTTTTCTTGCAGAATGTGGATTCTTCAGAGAGTCGTCAAGCACGACTTCCAACCTACTCAGAGATGGTGAAAATGGGCAGGTCCCATGCAACAAAAAGAACAAATCCTGAGTCTATCAGTGCAGCATTTCTGGCTGAGTCTTTTTTTAGGCCAAGCAGTTTGGAGGAGCCTCTGCCCATTTACAGTAGAGACATGAAAGGTATTGAAGATTGAAGGAACTGAATAGGCCTATAAATATGATTGCTAATATTCATTTGGTCATGACAAATATTGTTTGCCTTAGAGAGAGAGAACAGAGACGTGATGAGTTTCCCTGAACGTGGTCAAGCTGTACATCTTGTGATGAGCGATGAGGAAGAGGATGATATGACTATAACCTCTCTATTTGATGCTCCCATCACTCCATTACCTCGCAGCATGGGATCAGGGAATTATGGAAGTAGCATTTCCCAGTTTCCATGGGAGGTGCAGAAAATGGAACCTCAGGACTTAGTGCCTATGCCTCTTTTGGAGCTCTTTGTTTCCATGACAGACTCCGAAAAGTGCCACTCGGTTGATGGAGATGTTGTCCGTTTCTGTGCCTTTAACTTCCCTGCAGTTGCTATGGCCTTGGGGAAAAAATATTGGGGCTACATCAGAGAAACATTTCATGTCCTTGCTGGGAACATGCAGGTGAGGGATCATCATGCGCAGTATAACCTTTTTTCAAGACTAAATGATGAAACTTAGTCTTCATCTTTTCATGAAGTGGAAGGTCCGTCGTCCATTGGCCTTCTGCATGCATCACTTGGCTGTGATACTGGGTCCCGAGATTGCTGCTAATGACCTTGCTCCAGTCTTTGCTTCCTTCATGTCAGATGTGGATGAAGTCAGAATGGGTATTCTCTGTCATTATGCAGAATTCTTGAAGGTAAAAGGCAAATTTGTTTTCTGCTTTTTTTGTATTTAGTCATTGTTCAAGCTTTTGAAGCAGGTGCTTTTTTTTTTTTAACTCCTAATAGGTACTACCAGACTGTGATCGTGCCCCCTTCCATTGCCAGCTGCCAGAGTTCCTCAAACCTGAAGATAGCTTCTCTAATTGGCGCCTGCGTGTTGAACTTAGCCACCAGTTACCTTTGCTAGCTGCGCTCAATCCTGCAAATTCCACAGAGGATACGCTTCAGCCACCACATTCCATTCATGTGGAAGTGGCTCTCCACCTCCTTTGCGACAGGGTTTTTGAAGTTCAGCAAGCTGCACTTAGCAGTGTGAGTACTTACACATTTTGGATTTCAGATGCCAACTTATTGAAAAGATTCAATGGTCTGAGTTATGATCTTTTTTCCCTCTAGTTATGTCAGATCCTGAAACATCTGAGGGTGACCAGGTTGAATGACCTATGCTTGAGAAACTTGATAAAGAGCATTACTGGTGTCCTCCTCAACGGGGGGAAGAAGTGGAGAAGACGGCAACAGTTTGCCAAATTGTGTGAGAGGGTTGTTGCAGACTCATGTTTACCTCCTGATGTCATCATGCAAGAGCTTATTCCCCACCTTCTGGAGTTGGTCTGTGATCGAGTGCCCAACATTCGTATGGCAGTTGCCCAGGCCCTGCAAGTGCTCCGACAAAGTGAGTGGGCCCTGAAATGGAAAATGAATTTTTGTCACTGTTTATTTAAACACGTTTGCTAAGTTTCCATGGGTGGTGGGGTTTTTTATTATTTTTTTTTAGTGAGTTGGTTGGAAGACCAATGGAAGGTGCTAGATCCACTGAACTTCTTATCAAGAGATCCAGACCAAGATGTGAGACGAGCTGCAGCCATTCAGCAGGAGCATTTGACAGTCAGTTTTAATTAATATTTCATTTATGAATATGTTTCATGCTTTGTGGCAACCAATTGCTTCAAATTTTTCTTCATCTTTGCAGGAGCCTCTCTAATTCTTTTGCTTGTCCTGAGTGGCAGTGCTTCTCTAGTCAAGATGGAAGACCAGTACCCTATTTCTCTCCCCCCCTCCTCCTCCTACTTGATTCTTCCTGCAACATCCAGATTGCAAAGTACCTTGAAGTGCAACAGATGTCTTCCAATGGGTATCAAGGAATTCGCTTGCACATTTATCAAGTCCTTTGGGTTTGGTTTGACATTGAGAAGCAGTGGACATGAGAGATGTTGAATGATCTCTTGACATGCCTGAAGACCCCAAAGCTGAGAAATGAACCTGTGATCAGGGTTTCATAATCAGAAGAGAGAAAGCTCCTTATTTTTTCCAAGATGAGCATTATTTTGGTGCATTATGTTTGGATATAGAAAACTGCTTTTGAATTATTTATTGCCTTTCTTCAGTCATACTTGTCAGTTTTCTTTGCTTCTCTATTTCTTTTTTTATATCCCTTTTTCACCGTGTCTTGTGCATGAAACAAGTGGCTTGTCACTTTTTGATTATTTTTCCTTCATGAATGAAGCAGTTTGTTTTGGATCTCCTACCTGGTGACTTCATTTGAATTTTTGCATTCCATCTCCATTAGGCCAGCTGTGTTGGCACTATTCCTGCCTTTGATATCCACTAAATGTGAATAAGTTCAACATGAAATGGTTAACCCTGTAACCGCTGTTCTGGGTCTAATGAACCCTGACAAAAAAAATTAACTTTGTGTAGGCTGCACCATAAACTCAAGTCCAATACTTTTTTTTTTTTTAGACTTTTTTTTTAATTAGGGGAGGAGATTCTCCGTCACGAATTGTTTCACTCTTCATTCACAATCTACATTTTGGTAGTTATTGTAAGAGGGTGAGATGTGGTGCAGGACTGGAGGTAACAGCCATGTTGATTGAAATGGAGAATGTTTCAACCTATTAATACCAGAGGACTAGAGTGGTATTAATTGCTTTCCTAGGTCACCTGGATTCAGATAGACCCAAATTTTACTGAGGATAATTGTGAAACAAGCTAGGCAATGTTTTTGTAGGTTTGATGAATGCTTTTTCATTTATGTTATAGTCGCAATTCTTGGAGAAGCAAGATCAACTAGTACGGATTTGTAAACTGGATGTATTTAAATTTTTGTGAGGTAATTATACTTCGGGAGTTGAACAAGTAGATCAGAAGAAAATGTTCTAGGAAAAGTGAAGTTTCTTGCATGTTGGGGAAGAACGTTACTTTCTCAGCTTAGCATTATAAATACACTGGAAGAAACAGTGCGAAGAATGTTAATTTCTTAAGTGGGATCCGGTCCTTTTCATCCTGATCCTGACTTCGGTGTAACGGAAGGTGATATTTCCCAGTTCGTTGCAGTTGTCCTGAAGGTTTGGGATTTTTTTGATACTCGAACTAAAAGTACTGCACAAAACCACTTTCCCATAAAGTTTCCAAGCGCTGATGAGGTTAATTTGCAGAATTAGAGGATGTTCCAAAGCAAACAAAATCACTTAACCCTTTCCATTCTGGTTTTAAAAATATAAATGATATAAAAACGGATTTCTTGATTCAACCTTCCACTATGAAAAGTAATTATCTGTTGTTCATACGGATAGTAGGAATTAAAGAAATTACTGTCTAAATGTCTTGTCTATTCACAAGCGAGTTTGTTAGCCCAAATTCGCAATGGTGGTACCTTCGGTGCTCGAAGGTACAAGAAAATGATAATTCAATTTGAAATGTGCTTTCGACGCTCACGCCTTCCAGGGACTAAATTCCATGACTTTTAGCCATTTTCCATTGTGGCATCATTGCCAACTTGAGACCAGCAACATTACACTAAGGGAGTTCTTAGCCCCCCCTCCTAAACAAAAAAATATTATTTTTTTTCCTTAATTCTGTAAGTTTCAGTTTTGGTTCCGCGTCAAAACATCGAAACGACAGGACATCGACGAAATGAAACGTCGACACGCCAATTCATTTTTCTCGGATTTTTTTTTCTTTAAAGATCGCTAATGTATAACTTCCGAAGGGCTTTGCTGCGATCGTCTATCAATCCAGGATGTACCCCCTCCCCGACGTCACGCCGCTGGACAGCTGAAAGCTGTCTTTGAAGGGTCCTGGTGGAGCAGCCATCTGATGAATTTCACATCTGTCACGAGATTGTCTCATTACTCGAACATCTGGACGACAAATAATGACTCCAGATGAAAACAACTGCTTTCTCCCTCACCTGCTGTCCTTCCCACTGTTGATTTATGGAATGCGAATGCCATTACCTAAGAATGCGCCAGAAGAAATACTCATACCCAGAAGAATGCTTCATGCCAGAGTGGCTTTGATTTCTCGTTTTGATGGATGAAAAACTACCAATGTTGGATAACTACTCTTAAATGAGTAATTTGATCAAACTACGAATTCTTGCATCTCAAAAAGTGGTTCAACTGGACTACAAAGTACTGTTTTCTCAAAGTAGTTCATCTTGCCTACAGGTACTCCGTTACACAACACAACACTCAATTCTCGTTGAATAATAAAATCCATGGGCACTTCTATCAAATCGTCAGGAGCCGGTTATCCAAAGCAAGCTCGAAGAGTAACCGACCTTTCAACAACTCGGTGCATTAACTTTGAATAGAAATATCTCATCAAAGGTTGTACGAAAAGACAGCTTTCAGGTGTGAAGGTTTCATTTCTTCTCCGTGCTGTTAACAAATAACATCCGTAATGCAGGATTGCTACGCAAAGTGTGTAAGGGTGTCGGACCAACACGCTTTCGCCGCCCCGACACGTATTCTCCCGCTTCGGATTAAGCTCGGACGTATCACCCCTATAATTCCAAACCCCCACCATGTATCCGGCCCCTTGTGAATCCCTCTCTCACCTCTCATTAGTGATCGTTTACGCGTCACGGGAGGAATGGAGATGGCGGCAGAGGAGGCGAGGTAATTATCTGATTGGAAAGAAAGTTCTCGGAATTTCATGAACAATTATTACAACCCAGTTTATTTAAAAGCAAAATCATCTTAAAAATTGTACTGGATATTCAAGAAATTCCGAGAACTTTCTTTCCAATCAGATAGGATAAAGGGAAAGAACAATTCACACAGGGTCAATCCAACCTGTGTCCCAGTTTTGGAAATAGTTTTGGGTGTCATATCACGGATTTCTATTACATTTGGAATGCAGCATGCCTTACCGAGAGGCAAACCTCTGCCAAATTTCCCTGCGACTCTCGATTTTTGAGATAAGAGGTCGGGAAGTTCTGACCTTTTGGGATGCCATCATACCATTGCAGCATAAAATCCCTCTTATATCAGGAATTATATGAACTACACCAATGTTCTTTAGCTCATACGAAAGCTCTTGAAGAGCTATTTCTTTACCTCTTACAAAATTCAGGCTCATTTTTAACAGTAAAAAAAAGTAATAATCTGAATAAGGTCAATAACCTTTGACCTTACTTTGCTGCAAAAACCATTTATGATTATCTTTTTTTTAAACTTGCCATTAAGTATCACTGTCGCTTAACCAATTCAGAAAATGTTCACCGTTATGTTTTTCGTAGCTCTTGAATAATGATGCTTTAGAATATGATTATCACAAATTTTTACAATGCTGCTCATGGACCGAATTTTCGCTAAATGCAGACAATCCATAGACTGCCTTGAAATTCCCCTGTTTTCAAATTCATATTCCAAGTACTGACTTATTTTTTAAATAATTTTTTTGGTTGTCAGCTCTTAAAATGCAGCTAAGGGCTAAGCAAACTTGTGACAGCAATCCATCATGGCTGCTATAATGAAACACTAAGATTTTTTCAATATAAAAACTTTTTTTTTATGGATCTACCTTGTAGGTAGTGACTGCCCTGATGCTCTTTGCCATGGAGCCTGAAAACAGTCAGAAGGAAAGAACAAGAACTTGTGCAAGTTTCACAAGTTTACCTTCCTCCCAAATCATGCCACATTGAGAATGATTCCTGCAACCAAAAGTCATGCTAAGACCTCTATCGCCCGTACATTATATATAATATTATATATAACATTATATATATCGCCCGTATAGCATTCGTTTGAAAAACCTCTGTCATCCGAAATGACACGACAAAGAAACTGGAGAGGGGGGCCGAGAAAAATTCACCTGGAAATTGAAGCAAGAACCCATTGCTTTTTATTTCAAGCTTCAAGGTCCAAGAATCATTTCTGGTTCTTGTTTCAAGTTCCAGGCAAACTCCCAATGCCTCCTTTCTCATGTCGTCCCTGATGATAGAGATTCTCGGTTTTCCTTATTGCTTCGTTTAGCCAATCAACCAAAATTACACCCCAAGAGGAAGTACGAGATTGTCGAAGAATGAGAATAACTCGTGGGTGGCTGCACGGAGAGCCATGTTTACTTCGGGGTTCAGTTTTCGGGTGCCATGCACCAAATCCATTTAACTTTAAACTGATTCGTTTTCATAATGGGCGTCTATGGGGATGCGTTTATCTTGGTTAAACTGATTCCCATAGGGAACCATTGTGAGATCAGATTAGTTTAGCTTAAACGGATTCGGTGCATGTCACCCTTCATCCTTTCTCCATGACACAGCCAGAATGGTGTCAGTTTTGCAATAATTGGCAACTTGCAATAATCGAAACATCGAAGAAAGATGAGCCGAAATGATGAAAACTCTTTATAAAAAAAGGAGATAAGAAAGTGAGTAATCCGTGCCATAACCTCCATCTTCAACGACTGTATCACAACGACGCCGGATCAGTCTTCAGGAACAATGCTCTTTGTGTCCCCCTCCTCCAGTTGAACCATGAGATGATCCAAGGCCATGACTGATGGCATTTAATTCCAACGGCATGCACTATATGGCGATGAATACTAAGATGTGTTGCCACTGCTTGCAATAACAATTACACAGCTGAATCTCCTCATAAATCTCGTGTCTGGTCTGGCAGAGTCATCTTGTCTTAATGCATGAGATCTCTAGTTGAAAACCATAGTCTGTCCATCAAGTAGAATAGTTACATTCTAATTCACCCCTCCCTGCCATTTCCCGCTCATCTGGAACTTTATCGACCTTCGGTTTCCTGATTGGACCAAGTGGCCTGCGTACCCAATCTTGCCATCTTCTTATTTTGGGGGGTGGGGGTCCATGAGGACTTGAGCATTTCCAACAATTTCCTTTTCTGTTCCCGACTAAACGGCACATCAGGTGAATCACATCCTACTCCATCATAACACTTGTCCAAGGAAGAAAATGTTAGGTTACTCTTTAGCCCGATCCAGCACATGAAAAACATGAATAGTCCTTGTGAATTATTTGGAATACTAGGAAAATTTTCTCTCTCTTTTGGCTTTGGAAACCGAAAAATGCAAATAATTGTCAACATAACGTAGCAGACGAGCTTCCAGCAAATCTGTTGCTAGTGGAGAATCAGTCGTCCAATACGTGGTTCACATTTTTCCATTCCATTTCCTCTCTGAAGCGTTTCGTTTTATTACCATGTGCTTCAAGTACCATTCTAATCGCATAAAAATGCGAATACGGAATTTATTAAATGCAAGCCAATGCTGAGTTGGATTCCAGTGGCTGCTTCTGCTAGCGGTGGTGGCCTATTGTGTTCTAAAACATTTAAAAATATATCATTTTGCGCTTGTACCCATTCTTTATGTTGGTTCGGAGCTTTACATAAAATGCTTCGTCTATTTGTACCATGCATAAAAAATTTTTTCATTGTGATATCGCACTTTGAGAACGTGTTCTGTTTTTCACCCCGGAGAAGTTACTCAGTTGAATATTGTCTGGTTTTAAACATGTTATAAATTACCGCTTAAAAGCCTTTTTCGGTTTCCCAGAGGTAGAACGGATACTCAATAAAATTGCTTAGTGCACTATATGAGATACATAAGTACTGATGAAAATGTCATTCATTCAATTTCAATACTGTATTAGAAACAAGTAATTCAATAGTTCTCACTTCTCAAAATAATCTCCTTTGTTTACGCACTTTTCACACCACTTCAGCAAATCTTGAGAGGCTCTCGCAAAGGAACTCTTCGGGGTTTGTTCAGTTCATCGGTAAATCAGCGGATCCCAAAACTGAACGACTTGGATATTCCAAGAAGCTGATCCTTGAACCTAAGGAAGAAGCAGAAGTCGCCGAAAGACAGATCTGGAGAATAAGGCATGTGGCAACAGTTCCGCGTCATTTTCCCTCCATGTATTCATGTACAATACCAGAGTGATGAGGGGGTGCATCGTCATGGTGAAGGATGGAGTTGGCTGTCTACTCCGGTCGCTCTCTTGGGATTGCTGGCAGGAGCTTCTTGTGAATGATGTCTGGGTATGCCTTCACAGAGGCCCGTTGTCCCTTTTGGCATGGCATGGGCCCCAAGAACACCTTTGCAATCTCCAGCACCGATGATCTCGTCTGCCGATGGGGCCACCATGAAATTTCTCGGAGGTGGTGAGTTTCCATCATGGTGTTTCCATCGAGCTGACTGAACTTAGGCCTGGGGGTTGTATCAATAGGGAGGCATTCAGGTTTCATCCATCGTGACAATCCTTGTTGGGAACCCATGTCCTCGGCGAAAACGACACAAGCTGTTGACAAACATCTACTAGCACAACCATCTTGTCTACCCTGAGTTGCTTTTGAACCTATCGGGGAGAAACCTTCTACGTGTGGAGCTTTAGTCAGAATTGCATGAGCAAATACCATGAAATGTCGCAACAATCTGCTGTTTCTCCGACTGATTTTGACGCCTGTCTTACATAAAAATACTGTCCACGGGGTAACAAATTTGTCACATATTGCTGTCAGCGGTCGTCCGTTGCGTGGCTTTTAAAGATGGCAAGAACTCTAACAGGTTCTTGCCATCTTTAAAAACTTTCGCCCATCTTCTTATGGTGGACATATGATAGGCAAGCATCCCCACAAACTTCATTCAATTGCTGATGAATGTCAGCCGCTTTTTTCCCTTGAAGCGACAAAAACTTGATTCTCTCGACAACTTATTGAACTAATGTTTGACACAGATTGAACAAAATGTGTTGTTGCTGACTAATTCTTGGTTCGAACAAGTTCAGATTTGCAGGCCTGTGATGTCATAATTAAGCATTTTTTGCACGAATGAATGAGTATGATCAACTTATATTTATTGGGAAATTAATGGCAGTTAATTGATCTGTCCTTTTTGAATTCACTTTGTAGCTTGGTGCATTGCAGCCCGGTTTCCTGACAACTACCCTGGCTAACTGTTGGGATTGAACAAGGTAATATATTTGCGGTTACAGTCCAAGGAGCTAATGGGAAATGACATGTCCAGATAAATGGAATTCCAGGTCTTGGATGATGCAAGGAGGTCGGCCTTAATGAGCTACCGATGACCAATGTCCTTTTTCAAAGGCCAAAGAGCCAAAACCTACCCCTTCGATGAGATGTCTGGCAAAATGAGAATTGAACGTATCATTGGATTGGTTCAACTTTATACATATATGATATATCCAACTTTAGTGTCCTAGCTGTAGACAATTTGGGCGTTATAAGCATCCGTTCGAAGGCAACCGCTAGGGTAATTTTTCAGCGTTTACCTTTTCCCCATGTTCCGCAAATGCTCCCATGCTTTTCCTAAGTTTATGCATTTTCACTATAACTCCAGGTTTTCTGGTTTTCCAGGTCTGGATGACATCCACTCTCATCGATTTTTTAAATATAAAATCATTTTCTGATTCTGAAGTTAGATATCAATAAATGTGGGACAGACAAAACAAAATACACAATACGCATATGCTGTTCATCAACTGCTGATGATTAGGTAGCATTACCTGCTTACCATACGCAATGTGCCATATGATGACAAGAATGATGTGCCTCTATGAGAAGGAAGAGAAAGACATACAAGGAGCTTCAAACTTCCTTCATTCCCGTGTTACAAGGTGAAGTAATTTACACGTGCGGCTGAGCCATGGTTCTGCCCTTCCCTTGCAGATGGAGGGCACAAGCTTTTACAGCAGACAATATCTCCTCCCCCGTTGGGATGATTTCCTCCGGAGGAAGGACAAACCCATGGAATCCAGTATCGCGTAACTCTATCGTGTATGAATACTTGATTCCTGCAACCCCCTTCGACCAATCCTTTGTGCCTCCTGATGACAAATCTGGAAGAAGGCCGATATTAACTTTTGATAAATTATATCACTGAGGAAGAATTCCAGGCGTGCTTCGGAAGGTAACTCACAGAGGACATCGGGAGAAGTCCCAAAAGTATACTCCAGTCCATGGACCTGAAAAATGGCTTCAACTCCTACCAAGCCAAGCTCTTCCAAGTCGGAATAATCTTCCGGTTTGATGTCTGCATATCCCCATGGGCTAAGCCACAGCTGCCCATAGGAATGAAGGGAGAGGAGGACCTCAAAGCTGCTCACGCCTGTATCCTCAACGAACTGCATAAGGAAGTCCCGAATGGCTCTGTTCTCCGGCTCAGATTCGGCCTCTGGGCCAGCATAGATTTCACTGCATTTGTCTGAGCTTGCGCCGGACTCTACAAAATTCGATCCGGAAAAAACGACTTAGGGAAGCTCTTACACCTTTCTGGCTATTAATGCAATCTTTCTCACCCATCCAATGAAAGTCAAAGTTCCTGTTCGAATCGACACCAATGCACCCCGAAGGAGAATCATGATCGGATCGCGTCTTTCTCCATAAGCGATTCTACACAAGCAACAACATTCGCAACAGCATGGTCATCCAGTCCACATCTCAGACTCTGTATATCAAATGGTTGCACTCACTTCAGTCTGTGAATATTCGTATCCATCAGGATTCACTACTGGGAGGAAGTACCAGTCGTAGAGATCTACCACATCCTTGTGGACATCGTAGTTCTCTACGAATTCCCGCATGATGTATGTGCTTGTAGCTGGAGAAATCCACTCTCTTGCATGGATCCCTGAGCAGTCAAAAGGTAATTTCTACATGGAAATATAAGCACTAGGAGGTAAATAGAGAATACGGGGGTTGACATGTTCGACCACGAACGGTGCACGAGGGGATGTCAAAAGACATTTAAAATTAATATTTATCTCAAAAACTAGAAACGCTTAAATCATGCAGAATGTGCCGTGTGTCATATGAGAGTCCTGTCTTTGATGTATTAAGGATAATTTAATAGCCTAAGTACAACTCCATCTATATTTATTTTGTCTCCTTGCAGGTTCAGTGACATTTTCCTGCTGTCGCAATGAAGGTGAAGTACATGGCACATGCTAAGTTTTATGCTAAACTGGGAGAGAAATGGTTCGCTTAAAGTTGTACATGGGGAAAAAAATAATAACTTTTGCTCGTGACAGTGATATTACCTCTAACAGATAGAGCTCTCATATGACATACTACAAATATAAAATAGTAACGATTCTAGTTTTGGAGATAAAAATTCATTTCTAAAAAATTGTTTGATTACCCCTCGTGTGTTTTCAACGAGCCCCATGGTGTGAAGTGCACGTCTTAACCTTGTTCACACTTAGTACACTAAATATTTATGAAAAACCTCATTGGAATAGGCTCTCAGTCAAAAATGATATGTATTTTTTAAATTATAGGTAGACACAAGGGTCTCGACGATGTGAGGCTTGAACTTGATGATCCTCACCTTCCTTATGCAAACAGTCGTTATGCTTCAAAACCTCATCCCTCTTCTTCATCCAATCATTCAATTGGAGTATTCTGCAACAAGCATCCTCATCATTCAGTCACCCCATTTAAGTATGTAAAAAAAAATAAAGACTTGAGAGCAATTGCAAAAAAAATTACATTGAAAGTGTGAATGTAAAAAAAAATATTTCAAAATCTATGAGCAAAGGAATGGTTTTACTTTGTTTTCAATCCTCGGCTACATATTTGAAACGAGTACAACGAGGGGTTCTTCCTAATGTTTAACTGAAATCCCTCACTTTCCACTCGCTTAGTATAACATGGCCTTCAGTCACTCACCCATGGTTTCCAGATCCCTGCTGGGAATATAGCTTATACTTACTGCCTATACCGAGTACTTTAGCAGGGACATGTAATGGATGAATGGGTGTCATGACAGGTACTAACCTCCATCGATCCAAAAGCTGCGGGTGGCATTCCCTGTAGATACCTTCATCACCATGAGATCATGCCCCATCGTACTGGTTCCAATGCTGAAAACTTCTACCATATGAGAATAATCTGCAGCCAAAGTATCCATATACTCATGAATCTAGGAGAAAATCAAGGCAGAAAACTCAAAAGCCAGCTTCACTTTTTAGGCTCTAAGCTATGACAGATGGGTGTGGACTTGCATCAGCAAGGCGGTGGTATGATATCCAGTCCATCTTGGAACCCTTTGGAGCTGCCTTCTCAGAATCCAGCAATCTACATGTATTTACGAAAAAAGCAGACAACTTTGTTTTTACGAAGGGAGACAGAGCTACAGTACTTAAGGTACAGTCACTTTCAACTTTAATCGGTGAGTGAGCATTCTTTTAATAAATAAATAAATGAATAAAAAACATCATTCAAGTCTGCTTGCATTTTGCTAATTTCATTTTTGGATTGTACAATTTTCGCCTTGGTAGTAATGAAATTAGTTCTTCAGGCATGTATGGAATTATGACCAGGGTATTTTGAGTGAAGTTGATCCAGCAAAAACGTTTTCCCGCAAACGTGAAACTCGTATTGGTTGATTTTCTGGGGGAAAAAGTCAAATGCCTCAAATACTACCCCTCTCAGACCCAGAGTTGGGTAAGCTAATTTGAAAAGTAACGCTGAGGTAATGCACAGTGCAACCTTTGGGCCCTTAATACAGTGTATTCTAAATTCCAGCTGTAAGTAATTAATGTTTAAGTATTTTTGCTAATGAAACTTGGGGGGCACTGTCTTGAATTATAACAGATGCCCTAAAATGCAATAGATCAAATTCAAAACGTAAAGATCTTAGTGCCATTTTTGTTATCCTTCATGAATTAGTGATAAACTTGACGATGGAACCCTGCCACTTTTACCATGCTTTAGGGCAGCCCAGATGAAGTTGAAATGTTGAAAAACGGGTCATAACGTTCATCGTCTCAGAACTTCATACTCAAACAGTAGCTGCCACAGACTCCTACGTGACAACACCCACAAGGTTCCTTCTGTACAGAGGTCCAGTTTTCCCAGTCAGGAACTACTACGACTCGATGTCATGCTTTCAATATTTCTTCAGCAGTCCCTAACTGAGCGTGAAAGAAAGCTTTTGAGACGAGATAGCATAAGGCTTCACCGAGATGTTGCAAACTACTCAGTAACAAAATTCACCTAGTTGATTGTGGATATTTGTTACTTTAAGTTAGTTAAATGTTTAATGAAATAGTTAACTGTTCGATTTTTAAAATGACACGAAATGTAACAATAAGTTACAGGTTATTAGAAGGATTCAGTAATTATTACCATAGCCAGTGGGCGGGGAAAAAATACCAGCTGGTCTCGTGAACGGGTTTCATTGATTCCAGTTGGTTTGATAGGTCCACAACTGGAACAGAATCGGTGTGGTTTCAATAGGAAACTGGTATTTTTTCAACTATTCTATTTCCCACTGAATTTTTTCCAATTGGTCAATTTGATGCAGGCTAATTCCTTGGCTAGTTGGGAAAATTCAAACGAGCCAAATTAGTTTTTTTTTGTACAGTTCGGTCATTTTTTAATAGCCTGTAACATAAAAAAAATTGCTGCAAAATTCATGGCAGAAGAGCGCATCACACAATTTCCTACAATCAGATTGACAACTTACCAAAAATGATAGCTTTGTTTCTTTTTGGCCCACTCTGTAGAATAGTCAGCAATGAACGTTTTATTTTAAATTTATTCTCTGGCTTCCTCCTTTCAGGAACTCTATGGCTTTTGCGAGTTTTCAATCAGAAAAAATTGAACCATGCAAAATATCTGACGATCCTTGTTCAGTGACATGGAGAGAGAATGTTGAAACTGCTCTATATGGATTTCATGACCTCAAAATATGCTAAGTCGCTTCAAATTGGAATGCATCCCTTTAGCGGAATTGAAATTGAAGTACATCCCAGTTACTCATCGCAAGGTAAAAAAAAAAAAAGAAACAGCGTTCTACCTATTCCTGGCTCAAAGTTCTAAGTCCGGAAAATAATTTTTTTTGTATCATGAAACGTGCTCGTCTAATGGTTGTCATTCGCAGTTGTTGTGCAGGACTTATCAAGTCTGTTTGTGCTGCATGTCAGGACGAGAAGGAAGAAAACAAAAAAAAAAACATCAAAGAACTTGAAAAAATAAAATAAAATCGGGTTTATTAAGTTGAACCAGGAATAATTCGCATTGTGCTTCTAACCAGTCATTCCCGAATATCGCCAAAATTAAACTTCCAGGACCTGATATAAGCCAATGAAGTGTAGGAAGATAAAACTCACCGTTGGACATTTGGAATGAGGATTTCATAAGAAATATGACTGTCGTGTAGCTGGGCAATGAGATGATGAAGAGCAGCTGGGGCAATCATGAAGTCAACCGATTCCCTCCTCCATCTCCATACATCCACGGGACTGATTAGGTCGAGGTCATCCAAGATACGTGACAGAACCGCCTCATCAGGCGCATGCACTCGAATCACGTTGTGCCTATACTCGTAACAAAAAATTTGTATTTTTTGGGCTCTGTCATACCTTCATATCTTATATACATGTCATCATGTATATAAGATCCGAATCAGACATCCGAATTTGGGGTGCATGGAGAAAAATGATTATCCAGAATATAAAACCAACCCCTCATAGTTCCATTGTGTGCTGAGTATCAGGTGAGTGTTGAGGAAAACCCCGAGGAGAACCAAAACGAGGGTAGCCATGCTTCAAATTTCGACACTGAAATGCATCAGCTGTACCATTTCAAGAACTTATCAGTGATTTGGGTTTCCCCACATTGCTTTCCTCAAAATTTCCCATGGCACTCTCGTATCAAATGTTGATTGTGAAATACATCTAACTCTGAATGAAGGTAAAGGCCATCGCAGGGGTGCTACTCGGTGGGGCCGCTAGCTGCTTGAATCCGAACTTTTTGAGGTCCGAGTTATTTAGGCAATTATGCACATTTATGAGTTGTTTAACTGATGGTCGTGAAGTGGGAACTATAAAACCATTTGCTTTTTTAACGCGAACTACGAGGGGCGTACCAAAAGTATCGATACTGGCTATAATTTCCTTAATGTGCTTGCCACGAAAATCTAATCAATTTTCCTTTAATGTGCAACAAATACGCAATGCACACTCAGAAGTACAAGTTGCTCACTCTTATGATTAACAGAATACAGGCAGTGAAAGGAACACATGCATCAGAAATTACAGACGCGACAACTCAGTCATCTTGTGAATTATCACAAACCTTCTCCACGTAGCCCCCTTTGAGGTGGACGCATTTCTGCAACCACCTGCTGAACAGGATCGGCAAGGAGTGGTTCAGGGCGTCAATACGCAAGTGTGAATCGCGGTGGCAGAAATGCGTCCACCTCAAAGAGGACTAAGGAATGTTTAGGCATGCTACACATATTTGCGTATAAACAAGCAAACACTTTAACCTTGAATGCCTCTTACTTCTTCCTCTTCCCCATGTTAGTTTGAAAAATGCTGTCTCAATTTCCGTTTTAATGACCGCTGCAGGCATGGATGAAGAGGAACGAAATAATGTTATTCGTTTCCTCGTACATAATGAGTTGATTAGTAACAACCCTTTCCTAGATCTAGATCTTGTAAAAAGTTACAGTCCAACCCCAGGAGGTTGCAGGGGGCTTGACTTCTTCCCTCGTTCTTGAGAGTTTGGTTCCAGAACTGATATCGCGAGTCTGTTGCGGCCCAAATTTTTCGTGTGGGTCGTCAGTGGTTGCTCCCTATTTTTAGTCTGCGCACCCATGAACTATAGTGACCACAGGTATTGAATAGCTTCATCTGGAATAGTTTTCTCCATAGAATGAATTGCTGGTGCACTCTTGGGCTTTTTTCATGGTGTCAGGAGAATGAGTTTTGAAGAAGTTTTGATGGTCATGTGATGTAAGCCTGAGAGACTGATGATAAAAAAAAACTAAAATTCTACAAAGAATCTGCTTTGAGATGAAAGAAATATCCAAAGTAAGGCTTCCTCTTGTTGCACTTCTTGTCCTCATGGTACATATTTCTCATATCTCACAATGGACGTGATGGATTTCAGTCTTCAGGTGAAAAGCAAATTAGTAGTAGGTAGTTAGGTACAGCATTACACCTACTATAATCTATATAATGCAGTCTAATGGACCTTGGGGTCACCTGCACTTTGAAAATTTTATACAACATTTCAATTTAATTTACTTTTTTTTCTGCTCCAATAAGTGTATTTTCATAAACTACATGTCAGAGATGGAATCAGGGCAAGATAAATATCAACATTTTAAAATGTGTGAAATTAATCAGAAATAAGATTCATTATTGCCTATGGACAGTCTAAATCCTGGCTTTCAAATAAATAAACCAGAATTTATTTTATTTTATTACTTTTAATGCACAGAATTTAGTGTCTCGTTAGAGCTGTGCTCAAATCCATGAAATTATACTTCACCATCTTTGCCTTTGAAAAATGGAGATAAGCATGACCAATGCCATGCCAAAGGTTTTCATGTGGGCCCAGTTGGAAGAGATCAAGGACTGAATACAGGCAGAGGTATGGGACTTAAGAAGTTTATCAGTCAAATTTTCCTCTAGGAAAAGCTATAAATGACACCACAGATGGGAACATTCACAAGGACAACAGGAGATATCACAGAACTTGAATGCATGATGCTCTTCACACAATCTTGTCTTGTATTAGCTGCTCAGCTCTATATATCCGCCAAAGTATGATGCTATTACGCGTCAATTTGTATAGAGCATAGTAGTTCCAGAAGAGGAGAAGTGAGATTGAGAGGATTCGATGCCACTCTGAAGATCGGAGGAGGGAGACCATTTGCACGCCGACCAAAAACAGTTGAAGAAAAAGAAGACCCAGCACAAACACAGCTGGGTTGTTGAACACATTCTATGATGAAGGAAAAGGAGGTTCCATAAATAGGATGAGTTTAATGAATTCTTAAGAATGAAAAAGTATAATACTCACATAGAACCGAGTTTGAGAACCATCGCCTGGAACTGCAGAGTTCATAATGCCTTCAGCTCGAAATAATTCTCTAGAATACTTTACCAAGGCCCCCTGTGGCCATACATTCTTGTCATTCCACCTGTAATGGGACAAAAGAATACCACTTGAAAGGATTCCTTTTGTTCAAGATGGAACCAAATATTTTTTACAAATTAGGAAAATTATTCACATAGAGCAGAAAAAATGAATCACTATGTGATTTAGATCTATGGGGACTTACAGGGCATATGGCAAATAAGCATGCCGACCCTCTACCTTGCTCCACCGCCCCAAGTGCAAAGCTGCCCTATGAAGGGTGTCACAGTAACGTGGAGGATAACAATGGATCATATGAAATATGAAGCAGCTGACCCAGATGTAAGCCAAATGTAGAGTTGCCCAAGTCACATCATAATGCAGTGCTGTCTGGAAATAAAGAGAATTTGAGATCCAATTCCTATTTATTACACCATACCAAAGTGGAAATAAATGACAAACTATGCTGTACTATTATTGATGCTTACTTGGGCAAAGCAGCATGGAAGAAATCCAACATAATATGCATTCAGCAGGGAATTGAAGAGGACATGCCTCATTCGGAGATTGAAATCTCCTTTGAGCATCTCCACCTCTCCTCTTATTGTTTGTGGTGAGGATGAGCATGTGTGATAGAGGCCTGAAATGGATTGTGCAAATCTCATTGGCAAAGCAGGCAATAACAAGGGTAAGGAATAGGAGGAACTTGGCATGCTGTTCTGCTGACCTGCTTTGGAAGTCTTCACTCTATCCTCTCTTGGCTCACAAGAAGGTATGAGATCAAAGAAGGCATTCATGCATGGCCAAAACAGTATCACATACACAGCAAACCTGTTGAATAATGATCAAAATAAGCACTAATCTTTGAGTAAAAAATTAAAGATAATATCTTCATCAGGTTTATATACCATAGAATGAGGTGAGTTGAGCATGGGGGTGAGGTGAATCCAAAAACAAAAAAAGATTCAAGTAACTACAAAAACTATAGCTTCCATTGCTTTTCACAATTTTTTTGGTATGCTTTCTAAAGTATTTTCAGTTGAAATTGACACATTTCACATTATTATATTAAATAGTTTATTAATTAACAATTATATTCTACTACTACATCATTACCATGATTTTCATGCTCAAAACAAGTCTATTTTTTGAGGGACTGAAAATGTAACATTTAAATTTTCAGCACAAACTTGAAGTTGCTTGGAGTCTTGTCAGTAGATGGCCAACAATGCTTTTATTACTTAAGAAAAATTCCCAACATGTTCCTGGTTTTTTTTCTTCCGATCCCAAATTCTGCTGACAGCTACCTGCAAGGGATTTCTCAAAAGTTCTGCCAGTAGCCCCAAAGTAGCACTTTGTGGCTGCCTCCGATGATGACTTGTGGGCTACTGGCAGAACTTTTGCGAAATCCCTCGTATAAATGATACAACTACCTATAAATAGGTAATTATATACAAGTTCTTAACATCTTATTTCTGAATGAAACATCTGATTTTTTAAAGTGGATTAATCTCATCCTATGCAACTAATTTTCCAGGTTACCACTCTTTTTTTTTAAATAGGAAAACACCATCTTAAAACTTTTGTTACCCATTTTTTGGACAGATATGGATTATAGTTATGGTGTGAATTTCAATGTGACCCAAAAATGAAGGGGATAACTACACTCACGGATAAAATAAATAACAGAAGTTCATCACTGGATGATTCTGGAAGATGTGGTACGTACACCACAAGAGATTCCCAACTATTGCTCCAATCACGAAAAGCCTGCACAAAGTCCATTTTTCCATATTAATAAGAGACATCATTTCTTCATTCTGGAACATATTTATACTTCTATCCTTTTATAGAGCATAACTATCACTTACTTGAGGAATTCCAGCACATGTTTAGAAATGGAGCTTGGTAAAATCAGTGTTGTCAGTCCTTGAATAACTTGCCATATCAGCCTTCGACAGAGAAGTGTGGCAATGAAGTACACGAGATAGGGGTCAATCAGGTAGAAATTCTGAAAATGCAAATTGAAAACATAAGTATGCCCACATAAAAGAAAAGAGATGCACCAATACTGGTATATTGCTTTGTTTTTTTTGCTGTATCACTAGTCTCAATTCATCAGATACCTCTTGCGAATACAAAAACCTAGGGCTGCACCGATGTACCGGTCGCCGGTGTTGCACTATCGGTGCCATCGGCCGGTTTGCAAGCAGCCGATGCCGTTGCCTAAAGGAGAGGCAAAACTTGAGAAAAATAACTCGAGTGAGCGTGTGAACCCGAAAATATCGATCGGATTATATTTCAGCCCTAGACTAGGAACTCGTGGAGGAAAATGGCAGAACGAGAAATCATAGTCCCTCCTTTTATGTTATCCATTTGGGGCTTAATCGGTCTGGTGGATACCTGCTTTGCACCAAATCGGTTACGTGGACACCAAGCTAGCTCATAGGCTAGTAGCATTTACAAACGTGAACACCATGGAAATCCCCCCCCCCCCCTATTACAGATGGAATGACGATGGTAAGGGTCGCAGTGCCCCTGGGAGGGGGTGGACCAGAGGAGGGCAAAGCCTGACGACATTTGAGGATGGATGGCTAGGCAAGACAGTTCCATGGCCGAACCGCAATTTTTTTTTTTTGCTAATTTAGATGAGAACGGATGACCTCTATATTGATTTATGGGCCATGGGAGTGCGTTCACATAGACTGTTCTTTAAAGCTACTTTATTGTTCTTTAAGGTTCATGCCTGAGGAAGACAACAGTACTTATTTAGCTAGGAGTATTTACATCGAAACAACAGATGTCGCTCAATTGAATAACATGCTAAACTGTTCAGAAGGGATCTTGCTTGTCGCGTAGGCTCAATATGGTGCAGCTTATGCATGTATAAACAACTGCTGGCAGAGTAAGAGCTGAGAAAATAAATTATTTCCCACTGGCTATGGTAATCACGGAGTCCACCTGCCTCAGTCAAGGTACCGTACATAGTGTCCACCTGTACAGGCAGGTGTCCACCAGACCGATTAAGCATCGCATTTGCTACAGATGTGTCATTAAACGCTCTTGGGAGCATCAATAGGTAACAAACTAACCACTGGCGGACACAAACATTACTAAATATGGCCTCTATCGTTCTTAGGGGGTCCCCTGAGAAGTTATCACAAGGCTTCCAAATAGACCTATTTGAATCAGTATGAATTTTCATGTTAATTTTCAATTTTCAGACAACAATTGGCACCGGCACCGACCGATGGTTGAGATGTAAATCGCCCATAGGTCCACCGGCCTACCGGTCAAAGGTGGCCTTCGGTACAGCCCTACAAAAAACTCATAGAGCACCCTTTGATCTATACCTTAACACTTTGCATACGGGTCACATAGAAAGTCATGATTGTCTTTCCAAGCAATGCACACAGATCACGGAGAATTACATTTTTGCACATAATTTGATTAATGTGTATGCTACTCCTCTCTGGGGCATTTTATGTGCTTGCGTGAAAAAGCTCGATTTTTCAAGTAATGCGATTGATTGCTAAGTAATATAATTGTGGGTAAATTGTTTTAAAATATCCAAAATGGATTATCACAGCTTTCTACATGACCTGTATGCAAAGTGCTAAATTGCATGATTTATGGGAGTGTGAGTGAACTATTTCTTGAGAGGCATGTTTTCAAAGTTTGGACTTAGGCCAGAAATATGATGCTTCTGGATCAGCATAGAAAATAAATACAAGGGGGACATTTTTAAAGCTACGCAAATCACAAAAATGAGCAGCACAGAAATTCTTTTATGAAAAAAAAGAGCCTTTTCAACAGTCATTGTGTCATCGGCCAATTCCATATTGGTAAAACTTTTCATATTGCTGCACATCTAAAGGAGGACTATTAGGGGAGTTATTATTATCTAAAGGAGGAAATTAGTGTTTCTGTCCTCTTTCGCATTAATAACCAAGCTGAAATTGTGATTTCCACTTGCATAATTCATCAAAAAGGGTTTATAACATTTTTTAGAATTGTTGAATTTAAAATTGAATATTCTGCACCCTTTACATTTATTGAGATCCATAAGAAATTTTAATCCTGATTCATAGTCATGTGATGACACAAAAACAGCTTTTATGTATGTCAGCTACAGAGAATCAGTACTATATACCAGGCCATGTAAAACATCTGTCTATATTTTACAAATACTATGCATGGGTGGTCTGGCTGCCTCAGAGCTGGTGCACCCAGTGTCCATGCCATTATCACCTTGTATGTATCTGAAAACATAGCTTTAAAGACAAATTCCCCAGGAATTTATCTTTTTTTTTTTTACTTGAAGTTTGGATATTTTCACATTCAGTAAAATACTACAGGGTGCTAATACAGCAGTGTAATCCATATAAATTAGGTGGCCAAGAAGCAGGGAGCAGAAAGGATTCATCCATTATTCCTTCATTGCTGTCAAAACTCCAAGATTCATCATATATTGAAACATTGAATGTGAGTCAAGGAAGATGATGAAGGCTTCTGAACAATATGGAATTTGATGTGATTGCCACACAGAATTAGATGCAATGAAAGAGAAATAAAGGATCACATCCACTCAAAAAGCTTGGAGGAGCACTCACTTTTTTTTGGAATGGGATGCAATAAAGTACTGTCAATATAAAAATAGTAAGTACATGGAAGGAAAATTAAAGGTAGAGGAGGCCAATTCATCACCTTTTTCCTCATTTTACTCTTCCCATCACTGCAAGAATTCCTAAACTTAACACGTCTCTGATAACCAGAGGGTACGGAATTATTGCACTACAAAAGAGGATTTTGTTTGAAAAATGAAAGGAATCAGAATGTTGATTAAGATTGCACCTCAAACATGGCAGTTTACATTTCATAGAAGAAAGGGTTGTGTTTTTAAAATGGTAGGCAGAATTCTTCATCAAGTGGTAGGTTTGTTCATGATGAAGCTCAGGAAAGAAGGAACCACCACATCAATTAGAGATATGCTACTTACCATGGCATGATGATTGTGTGACTGTGGAAGCCACCAAACTGTGCGATATAAATGCAGATATTGCAGAAATAATGCCACCATTGTAAAGATAAAGATGATGAATTCAAATGCCAAATCTGAGTCACAAGGGATTCCAGGTAGAGGCACATGTTTTGGCATCACAAAGGAGCTATGAGCTGAACCTGTCTGCACTCCGTTCCTATGACAGAAGAAAGGCAAAGGAATTAGCAGAAGAGTCCTAATTGCTTTTCAACATATTGTGGAATCTAACTATATCCAGTCAGCAAGAGAGAATGGGGTAGATTTTTTAAATTGATAGGTAAGCAGGATGGGTTTTTTTCTTTAACCCTGTAGAATCCCTGTTCGGGTGGAACAGGTGGTAAATTTGTGAGGTAAATTTGCTTTGCTTACTAATGAGTTAGTGACTAAGGTCACACACTCTTTCCTTCTTTTGCCTAAGTCTGGCTCATCATACACACACTTTTATGGTTGAAAAGACTCTGCTCTTCTACTTTACAGGGATAGGACTTGTCAAAGGATAAAAATTAGCTCTCAGATTATAATCACGTTTTACCATCACATTCCATTTGGACTCCTATTGATAGTCCTACAATATTTCAATTTTATATTCTCAGATTCTAGACATAACATAAACCCTTTGAGACTTTATGTCCATGCATGCAGATGAACATCCATGGATTTTCAGCAGTTGTAGCATTCTCACAGCTTTGTAAAATCTCATACTAACATATATTCTCAGGCACAAATGTGAATATTTTAATTAAATTTGAGCTGATATATGGTGCCAGTCAATTGGTAAAAATGCATGGTATCAAGAATTTACAGAGTCAGCCAAGTATCAAGTATCAGCAGTGACACTAGTGCTGCTAATGAATCAGGATAGTGCTCAGAATCTTGTTTCTTACACCAACAATGATAGCAGCATATTCAGCTGACTGATACTGCTGACATTTTTTATTCACTAAATTTTGTCATATATGCAAGTGATGTAAATACAATTTTTAAATTTGTTCAGAAGATATTAAAATCTTATTGCAAGGGGCACTGGGTTTTGAGGAAAACCATAAATATTCATGAATTAATGTAATATTGGACTATATAACTAAGGTATGAATGCCATAAACAAAATCCTGTTCAAATATTGCATTCTTTATACATACTGGAAACCTCTAGGTTTTAATTTGATCAAATAAAACTATTTAGTATGGCTTTTGGAATTATTGCCAGCAAAAAATTTTACTTGTAAAGGGCCATATGAATTGTGAGCAAATAAAACTATTCTGCTTTTCATGGATTGATCTTGAGATCCTAAAAAAAATGTTTGATGCCTAGGATGATAAGGAGCATTACCATGGTATTAACTGAAAACACCCCAAAGACTGGTCTCTTCCCTTAACACTTTCAGTCCCATACCCCTCATATGACAGGTATAAGCCATAATGTATTCAAATCCTAGGTACTGAAAGTGTTAAGCTTTTCACAAGAGCCAGTTTTCCAAATTCTTTCTCCTTTGCAGCTTTCCTTCAGATTTAGTGGCATCTGAACTCCATAGGATCACCCACTCCCATCATCTTTTCTGTCTACTTAAACTTCATCCTAAGGTCAAATCACTATCTCCAACTTGCCTGGCTCTCATCTTTTCAAAACTGAACTGTGATACCAGTGGCCATTCAGGAGAAGAGTTGGATGGAATGAGAGGATGAAAAAGCACCATGGAGTGGGCAGGAATCAAACCTGGGCATTCTGCTTGCCAGGTGTGGTGTGCTACCACCAAACCCAGGATGTTCAGTCACCCCACTCCATGTCATCCCTATTCTTCACACAACCATTCTCTGTGTGCAGCAGTGAAGCATGTACATCCAGCTTAAAAGATAGATATGTCTGGCATGGCTCACATCTGTCTCTGTACTTTCATAAAACTTTGCAATGGAAGGAGTCTGAATATGGTCTTCTGCCACAACTTACAAATTCAACCAAAGTCTCCATGGCTTCATGTTGAAGCATAAGAAAGTGCCAGCAACTTACATCTGTGAAGCTAGACTATAAATGTGATGTCTGGAGGTCCAAGATAAGTAGAGACAATTACAAAAAAGTTGGATATTGGTCTACTATATGGAAGTTTGATTTTCCAAAGCACTATAATGTCCATGTTGATAGACATTTCCTTGTGTTTTTTTTTAACAACACACACTTCTCTTTACTGCATTCAGAACATCTGACTTCAACATCTTCATGAACAAGGACCCAGATTGCTACCACATTAAGATGATACTTACAATTCAGATTTGAGGATCAAAGAGATTCATTAGGATCCTTTTTCACCTCTTTCTCATGACTGCATATACAGTATATGAGCACAACTAGCTATGTATAAGGTAGCATTGGGAATTGAGGAAATATCACTCCTCTTGAATATGGAGCAAGCTCTGAAATGCCTCAG